TTACTATCTCCCATTTCTTTCATAAGAGTCCCTGCAGTCTGCCCAAAGTCTGGCTATGAATCTCAACATATGCCTTGATACCCTGCAGGGTAGAGCCTTTCAGAGGCCCTCTGTGGTAGGCTCCTGTCCTGTTTCCTGTTTTCTCCTTCCTCTGATGTCCATCTTCTTTGCCTTTCTGAATGGGGATTGAGCATATTAGCCTGATTAGCTTCCTTAGGTGTACATATTTTAGTATGTTTATTCTATATTATATGTCTAGTATCCACTTATGAGTGAGTATATACCCTGTGTCTTTCTGCTTCTGGGATACCTCACTCAGGATGATCTTTTCCAGATCCTACCATTTACCTGCAAATTTCATGATTTCCTTGTTTTTTTTTTTTTTTTTTTTTTATCACTGAGTAATATTCCATTGTGTAGATATACCACAATTTCTATATCCATTCCTTAACTGAGGGCCATCTGGGCTGTTTCCAACTTCTGGCTATTAAAAATAAAGCTGCTACAAACATGGTTGAGCAGATGTCTGCATTGTCTTCCCCTGTGGCCTGGCAAGGCTGTGCCCCCCAGGGAGAAGTGATCAAAGGGTATTGAAGGAGATCCTGAGACTCATAACCAAACTTTGGGCAGAGTTGAGCACATTTTTTGAATTTCAGATTTGGAAAGGAAGGATGATTGCATGGGGGCTTGCAAGATGGCTCAGCAGATAAGGGTAATTGCAACCTAAGTTTGATTCCTAGAACCCATATGGTGGGAAACAACTGACTCTTGAAAGTTGTCCTTGGCCCAAAGTTTGGCTATGAGTCTCAGGATCTCCTTCAACACCCTGCTGGATAGAGTCTTTCAGAGGCCCCCTGTGGAAGGCTCCCTCCTGTTCCTTGTCCTCTACTTCCAATGTCTATCCTGTTTGCCCTTCTGAATGAGGATTACGCATCTTCCCTAGAGTCCTCCTTCTTTAGGACTATAGATTTTAATATGTTTATCCTATATTATATGAGCACCTCAGACTCCATGAGGGTTTCCTAGTAAAATGAGCAGGGGCAGTCACTGGCATGAACTTCGTTGCTTGCTCTTTGATCACCTCCCCCTAGTGAGATGGCCTTACTAGGCTACAGAGGAAGAGGATCCAGATAGTCCTGATAGGTTAGGGTCAGATAGTGGGAGAGGAGGAGCTCCCCTATCAGTGGACTAGGAGAGGGGCATGGGGGGGAAGAGGGACGGAGGGTGTGAACAGGAGAAGATGAGGGAGGGAGACACAGCTGGGATACAAAGTGAATAAATTGTAATAAATAATAATGATAAATAAATTAGAAAAAAAGAAAGTTGTCCTCTGACCTGCACGTGTACAGCACAGCACCCATATACTCACCTGAAAAAATCAATGAATACTTTCATAAGGGATTATATGAACTCATAAATGAGTTCAGCAAAGTCATGGGCATGCAGGTGCCCGAGACGATCTTAAAAACTAAGATTCTTGTTGGTGATCCATGACTAGCTTCACAATTTCAAAACCCCTTGCAAAATGACAGACATAACTAAATTTACAGTTGGCTCATTTTTAGAAATATTTTAAGTGTGTGTCTGCATGTGGGTGTAGGCACGTTGAATATAGAACATGCAGAGGCTGGAGGCTCGGAAGGCCCTGCAGCTGGTGCCGCAAGTACTGGAGGGCTGCCCCACGTGGGTGCCAGGAACTGATCTCAGGCCCACTGCAAGGGACTGATGAGACATCTCTCAGCCCCCAATTTTTGGCCAATTTTTGTCAAAGGTGCCAAGACACTACAGCAGCAAGAGAATTTTGAACTGGTGTCGCTGCGACAGCTCATCTGAAAGAATGGAGCCAGGTTTCTAAAACACACCACAAAACTAATTAAAAATGGACCATACAGCTCAAGGGAAAGGGTGAGACCACACATCACTTAAAATAAGGCAAAATAACACCCCTAGGACTTCAGACGAGGCAAGGGTTTCCCTGAGATTCCCTGGAATGACATCAAAAGACAACAGATGAAAACAAATCTCAGAAGGATGATCACAATATACTTTTCAAGTAAACAAGAGTGAGTCTTACAAATGGACTCATCCACATGAAAGGTAAGTATATAAACTTGAGGTGCAGTGTTCAGAGGAAGGGGAGTAAGGGCTGAATAAAGGCTTCTGCTTTAGGGGAAAAGAGTTCTCTGAAACAAATAGGGCTTAATGTTAATATTTGATAGAAGCAAGTAAAATAGTTTACAGTTTGGCCAATTACATTGTTAAAGAAGAATACACCCTTATCATGAGCCTTCATGGCCCATGCAGCACGAGGCAGAATGAGACTGACGTAAGCTTGAGTTTGTCCCCCAGCAAGTATCGTGGAAATGATTTTGGGACGACACCCAAAACATCAGCCCTTTTATTCACCATTGCTTTGATTCCAAACTGGAGTTCAAAGTGTGTGCCCTTAGAATGATTACTGGAATTTTCCACTTGCTCATATTCTATGCAAATAGCTGCAGCTTGTATTTATTTTTCTTTGCTCCTAAATTTGTTTTCATCGAAATTTCCCAAGCTAAGCCTCCTCCTTTGGTTGTTTTCCTTTCCCTAGACCTGTAATTCCTTTCAAATAACTATAAAGTATTATTTTTTTCCTTTGCTCATGACTCACGTGGCACATGTCTTTAGCTTTCATTTACCATCTTCACCCTGGGTGGGGTTCCTGTATCTTGCCTTGACCCAAGGGCAGAATAAGCTCCCAGGAGCTGACAAGCTTCAGCTATTATGCAGAAGAGGTACTCTTACTCAGGACCAATGGGCTACTGTATACAAATGATTCAAATTGATGGTGTCCTTCTTACAAGCTCCCATGGTGAAGAAAGTCAGAAAGAGAAAGGGGCTGACAGCTACGAAATGGCCTTTCTGGCTTGTCACACAGGTCTTCTGTTATAGAGCCTTGTAGGCTACTTGCTTAAGTCACAGGGGACACAAAACAAGAGCCTTTCATATTCTCTCTTTCTCCCTCCCTCTCCCCCCACCCTCTGGTTTTTCAAGACAGATTTCTCTATGTAGTCCTGGCTGTCCTGGAACTTGCTCTATAGACCAGGCTGGTCTTGAATTCAGAGATCCGCCTGCCTCTGCCTCCTAAGTGCTGATATTACAGGCATATACCACCATTGTCTGGAATTGATTTTAGTTAATTAATTATTTTTAACAATTACCAATATAAGTTGGATAAGTAGCTATTTTCTATAGACCTTGGTCCCTGGCTCCTGATCAAGAAGAGAAACCTAGACATTTCTTTTCCTTATTTAATTTTAATTTATTTTATTACATATTTATTTTTATTATACTTTTATATTTTATATATTGATTATATAATTATATTTTAAGATTTTGATTATATATCATATACATAATCACATCATTTATCCCCTTCCATTTCTCCCTCCTTTCATAAGCCCATCCTTGCCCTCTTTTAAACTCATGGCCTTTTTTTCATTAATTGTTGTTACATATTACTGTTAGGTCCAAAGCGGGCCCCAATCTGCCAAATGACAGTGCCACTGACAGTGTCATAAATGACACTGTGGCATCAGCTCAGGCTTGGCTATGGTTGGGTCAACAGAAGGATTTCTAGTGAACAACCTAAGGGTAAAATCAGCATTGCTCGGAAACTTGTGAAGCAGGTTTTGTTTGTCGGGGAAGAACTATTATTTCCCTTCTCAGCCTCCACGGCCTACAGCCAGCTGCCTTCTCTATTCACACACACCTGCAATACACACTGAGGTCCCCACTTCATTCCCAGGCTCTTCTGGCTCACAACACACCACCACCATCCTGCCCCCCCCACTTTACTTCCTGCTACTGACCCCCTTCCGCCACAAACTAGCACTTTCCCTGCCTTTTGTTATTCTCTCTACCCCTGAGAAAGCCACAGCAGTTTAAAATTTCCCAATAAACCTTTCTTTCTACCCATGGAGTAGATTTCACTGTCTCCTTGCTTACAGTTACTTGTTTGCACGTTTTCAGGGCTACCATTTGGTACTGGATAACCAGCTCCTCCCAAAGAGGACTATCTCTCCTGCTCGCAGCATTCCTTAGTTGCCTCTAGTTCTTTGTGCAGGGTTGAGCCTCAGTGGCTTTCCCCAGGCCACTATTGTCCTCTTTCTCATTGGCGAGACCATGTGGGAATAGCATTCTGACATTTCTAGGAGACACAACCTCACAGCAAACTCCATGTTCCCCAGGCTCTAACACTTCTGTCATTTTGTTAGTGAACTACAGAAGAGACTGGTACAACCATCTTTATTTATCAGTAGATAAATTGATCAACCAAAAAATTCCCTACATGCATACTGTAAACACATAATTTCCATTCCCGAACGACAGCACCAGGTGTGATTATGAAGCATCTTCCACAGGCAGTTTTTTTGCACTGATAATCCTCTGTGAGAATGGAAATATTATCTTCCCCAGCAGAGAAATGGGACAGAGGAAGAAAAACAATATACACAAACTCATACTGCTGAAGAGGCCAGCCAGAGTCGTACCCAGCTGTGACTCTCGGCCAAGCCATACCCTTCAACACACATCACTTCCTCCCTCTCTGTGGGCAGCGGGTACTAGGTTGTTCTTCCCCACAGTCTATTGGACAATTCCATTTATTATTTTTATACTCAAAGTAGGGTGATATTTAAGTCTTCAAAAAACAGTCTAATTTCTGAAGCATGATACTGATAAAGGCATGCATGCGCATAGGTTCGTGCACGCACACACACACACTATATATATATATAGCGTGCTATATATAAAGAGTGTGCATATATAGTATGTATATATAGTGGGTGTGTACATCTATTGTGTGTATATATATTGTATATATATATTGTATATATATGTATGTATGGGAGGAGCAGAAAAGGCTTTCTCTTGTTAGTCTAGAAGGCTACTCAAACACTGCTCATTTATCCATGTGCCCCAACAGCAAAGCCCTTTCCTTCCGAGGGAGGGAGGCGTACCTGGATAGGGTCCTGTGTCAGTCTCATGGGCCCAATGCGTACCTCCGCAGAAGACACCTGCTAAATAAAGGACAGCACATGAGAAGCGTCAGACCTTCAGAGAACAGACTGCTTACCCCTTTCTTACACAGTAGAGTGTATTATGTCACTTCATAAATGGTGGGAGAACCTAACTTAATGACCTGGAGACAAGTTAGAGAGCATCCTATCCAGTCCTCAGATACTCATTTATGAGAATCCACACACTGCATGCCCTGGGGATAGTACCTATAAGGCTGTATCTCCAATGGGAAGGAGCAGGCTTTGGAGTGTTCTACTTCAGGTCCAAGCCTTTCACAGTAAACTCTAGCTGTTTTATGGGGAGAAACAGTTTGGTGCTTACTTACTGAGCACCTACGCTTACCAGGCAATCACTATTATCGCTGTACTACATTATTATACCTACTGACATTCTGAAATCCCAAGAGACTGGGACAGGCTACTGGTTATGAGCTGCCTCTTCCTCACACCTTCACTTTTTTCAGGTTTTAGGAGTAAACAGCTAATTCTCTCACCCATGTGTTCCATGGATACTGCCTCCATCTCAGCCGTTTTTCCTCAAGGGGCACAGGACTGTCACACCAGGACCTCAGGAGGCTAAGCTGTGCCCAGGTTCTCTAGGTAACAAGAGTTCCCAGCTGTTTAGTCACCCTTGGCTACAAATGTGTCTTTGCTTTTACTTTTAATCACTTTTAGTTTTAATTACTTGGATTTTTAAAAATGCTGTTTCTCCAAGTGAATTTGGCTGAAGAGCTTTGCCTCACCTCTGCAGATCCATTTTTGTTTTTCTCTATGTGGCTGAGGTGGCTTGCCACCTGGAAGCTTATGAAATATAAGGCCCTCTGTCTGTCTGGAGGAGCATCAGAGTGCATGTGACCAAGGACATGGTGACGACCCAGAGCTAGAGGATATTAAAGAGTAACAGGAAAAGAACAACAGAAGAACTGGGGATGGAGTAAGTTGGTGGGAGTCTGGGGTGCATGAGGCCCTGTGGTCCAGTACTATACAAATGGGCACAGCCACTGAAGGTTGTCCTCAGCTACCTGACAACAGCCTGGGGCACATGGGAGTCTCCTGCCTCAAAAACCCAAGCTAAATAACAACAACAGAAACCTCAAGGTAGAATTATAAATTACAAATCCAAAATATTCCCCTCATTCTCCTTCTTTCTCTTCCCTTCCTCTGGACTCTCAAACTGTAGCTTCTCCCACAAAGTGTCCCCTGTTCTTTTCTCTGCTTCACTTCAGACCTCATTGTTAGGAAATAAGGTCAGTAGAAACCCAAAGCCCAAGAGATGACTCTGCAGGCAGAGGCCCTTGTTCATAAGCCTAACGACCCGAGTCTGATTCCCAGAACTAAAATACAGGCAGAAGGAGGGAACCACCTTCACAAAGTTCTCCTCTGACTCCCAGTGTATGCTGTGGAATTCACCATGAGTAGGTACACCCCACCCTCCCCAAACACACGCCAAATAAACAGGAATTTAAATGTAATAAAAATAGAGCAGCAACGGAATAAAATGAAAAAGGGCTTTAGGAGGCTAAAGGCTGAGGGGAAGGAGCCTGCAGGAAGGACTTAACCTGCCCCTACAAGGAGAGAACTTGCCCCTATTTGATGCATTGCCTTATATACTTTGGCACATCCCCATAAGGCACATGACGTGCCTGCTAGCCTACTTCAGCGGTGGGAGGCAGCTGGTTTCACATCCACCAGGAGACAATATGATGACTGTGAACATGCCCCACCATTGTGTCCTGGAAGCATGCTAAGGGGTGGTCTGAACAGGAGACCAAGCAATAGCCATGATGGACAGCAGCATTTTAAGGTGACACTCATGCTAGAGGCAGGAGAGACCACAGCGTTCTTATCCAGCCGCCGCGGTGCCCAGCCACAGCTGCACCCTGGCCTTGGCCTGAGCCAGCACGGCAGGATTCCACACTGTGAATCTCAGTAAGAGGAATGCAGAGCCGGGTCCTGTCCCGGGTTTCTAATGTCCCTTGTTTATCTCTTTCCAGCTCTTTGTCAGTGTGTCCCCACCCAGCTCTATTACTTTACCTCCAGCTCAGGCGCCTCACTTCACCAGCCCCTCTGCCCCTGACCCACAGTTGGCTTCATGACTCCTGTCTAGCTAGCCCTTTCCTGCTTAGTCTATGCTCGGGATCATCTGACCTTAGCCTCAATGCCCAAAAGATGGCAGCTCTCTCAACAAGACCTGACAGTTGTTCTTGCTGGCTCTTTGGGATGTACCAGGCAACGCGCAGTAAATAATAGTGTCAGTGCTTTGCAAGACTCTGTTTCAGAATTCACCAATTCATCACACAAATACACAGATGCAAAGACCCTGCTTCAAAGAGTGATCTTTGAGCAACTGAAAATGTACAGGTGTGCAAGTTGGCTCTACCTACAGGAACTGAGCACCTCTGCCTGGGACAGAGAAGGCAACCCAGGGATAGGGCCACAGGCCACAAAATCCTATCACTCAGGAAGACGGAAGGGTGGGGCCAGATGATGATGTAAAATTCTAGGCCGCTTCATCTACTGGTTTCCCCAGGTACTTAATGAGCACATTATATACTTAACCACACTGCAGACACACTTGTGTGAACGCATGTACGTGTGAATGAGAATTCACCCACAACTATGTGTCTGTCAGCAGGGCCATCAACTCCCCCGCAGGTGAGCTAGTCTCTAGCACAGATAATAAAAAGTCCTACTTCTAGTATTTGCTGCTTTCACCAATGGCACAGTGAGCCTTGTCCTGGAGCCTGGTTACACTGGAATAAAAAGAGAGATCCTTTGCCTCTGCACCTAGGAACTCACTGTTCATCCCACAAAGGCTGATGAGTAGTGAACACCTTCCGTCTATATTGATCTGAAAATATCAATTGTTTATTTTTTATTTGCCAGTTTAGCTGCACATAGAACTCTGCCTGAGAGATACGATTCCTTAAACTTTGAGGTTGAGTCAGAAAGACAGTCTGGTTTGGGGGACATTAAAGAAGCATTCATGAAGGCAGGCAAGCTGTGAAGAATAGGAAGATGAGAAGGTTGAGGGGCGAGTCTAGTCAGGGAACAGCCTACACACAGGCAGGAAGGCAGAGGCACTCCCGGGGGGAGAAACACAGTATTCAGAGTGTGTAGTACAGAATGTGAAAGGGAAAACTCGGTGGACCCCGGGGAGAGCCTCTTCGCTCTAGAGGCAACTGTTACCACAGTGTGGGATTCCGAGTTACCATGATCACATGTGTGACGAGAAAAAAATCAAACATTTGGTTTGCCCACTTCCTGAACAGACATGAGCGGAGATTTAACAGAATGACACAAACCGAAATATTCCTCAGAGTGGGAACTACTGACAAAGAGAACCCCAAATGGAAGAATACATCACAGTAACCAAGATGAAAGGATGCAGGGAAGAAAGACACAGCTTGGCTTCCCTTCAATGGCGATGAACTCCACCATGTTGCCCAGTAGCACAGCATGAGTGAGTAAGAAAAAGCACAGCTCTTCAGGCTTGTTGATTCACCCATCATGGCGCCACCTTCTCTGGTACTGATCGCCACAACCCTCAGTGGTTTTGCTTCTGGAAACTTAGTGAGTAAGTGAGCGTTGACTTTTACAGCCGTCCTCAAACAGGTAGAAAGCTGAGACTCAGGAATGAGAACCCTTCTCTATCTCCCCTGCTCAGGGGTTCGGTCAGCCTTTTGTTCTGCCCTTCTTTTAGACCTGATATTAAATAGCATTTACTCATCTCAAGATGCCCCCAGAACACCATCAGTCCTCTCGCCAGCTTTGTCCTTCTGGGCCCTAAGTAAATAGTTTGTGTTGCCTCTGCTTTTGGAATGGACCCCCAGCCACCCTCCAGCTTCCAAGCTGGTCCCAGCATAGAAGCATATGGCGACACCAGGGTGAGCCTGGGAAGCTATATTTCAACTCAGGAACCCTATTTCACCTTGAATATCTCTTTTTGAGAACTATTCATCACCCCCAGACACCTTCAACCACCTTCTGTTCCCTCAACTGTGGCCTACCTGCTGGCTCTGCCATCACACAAGCTTCTGGCCCTCTTCTTGCTTTGATGTGGCTGATTGTTCTCCAGGATTTCCCTGCACCTCGGATACCCTGCACACCTCTAAGTCCCAGAGGTCAATGGAGGCCGATGATTCCATTACCTTCTCACTTCTCTGGTCTAGATGCTTTGCATCTGTCCTTTATATAAGGAGCCTCCAGAGAGACTCTTTAAGTGAATCAATTCCTGGTTCCAGCTCTACAGGACAGGAATCTAAAGACAGGGACCTAACAGTTCCTTTTATCTCTGTGAGTGTCGAAGGGTTGAGACTCTAGAGTCTATTCGGCTGAGAAGACGTGTCTGTCATGGAGGTCCTACCCCTCCCACAGATTCTATTACCAATAGGTACAGTGTGAGAGCACCAAAACCCATCCAACACTCAGCTGCTAGACCTGTATACAGGCGCTCTTTCAAAGTACAGTTTGCTTATTACTCACGCAAGAGGAAGAGACTTGAAGAGATAGCTGTGCAACACAACATTCCTAAATTATATCAAAGATCAATACAAGTTCTTTCTATTCCAGTCTTTCTTCTACATATGTAGGAGGAAGGTGAGTAAGTCAAGGACCATGACAGCAATATTCTTGTTTTAGGCCTTGATGCTTTCGGGTGTTAATTTTCACAAGTAATTTCATAGTGCATTTTATCACATGGGCATATATACAGAATTATATTTTCATCAAAAGATATAATCATTAGAAAGATGATAAACCAAACTGACACACAACTTCTGGCCTGGAGAGATGGCTCAGAGGTTAAGAGCACTGGCTGCTTTCCCAAAGGTCCTGAGTTTAATTCCCAGCAACCGCATGGTGGCTCAGAACCATCTATAATGAGACCTGGTGCCTTCTGCTGGTGCGCAGGTGCACACGCAGACAGAACATTATATATATAATAAATAAATAAATCTTTAAAAAAAAATTCAGGACTTCTATTCACCAAAAAACAATAA